TTGTTTGCTTAATTTCTTTTTTACATCGTTCTAGCTTTATTATAGTATTTGAAAAGAACATGTGGCAACGATTAGATAATTCTATTCTTTAAATGATATAAATTTTGTGCATTCTGAGTTATAATATGAATGACATATAATACTGTTAAGTGAACCTAGTTCCAGAGTGTCGCTATGTTAAACAAGTAGAGTGAATTTTAAAGAATGCTTTTATTCTATTGTGGTTTATGCGCTGTCGGCGAAGTAGATTTGATTAAATCCAATAAGTTTAAAAAAATGCAAGAAACAAATGCGTATAATTTAATATTCCGTACAAGTCATGTGGTGTACACATCAGATTTTTTTGGTTTTGTGCAGCGGCCATCCTGAAATTGTGCCTTCGTGGCGCCGATCAAAAAAGAATCGCCAACAAAACAAGGGGCGCATAATTGTAAACTTTTACCGAAATGTATTCAGAAACGGAAGAAACAAGAATTATCTTACGCTTCTGACGAGCAAAATTTGGAAAAAATGGGTAAGAGACAAATTTTCATTTAAAGATATCACCTTGATAAAACAGTAGCAAGCTAGCCCATAAGCATTAAAAAAAAAAAAAAAAAAAAAAAAAAAAAAAAAAAAAAAAGTCACGTCTGACTTAAAAACATTTTAAAAAGTGATTACAGCAAATCACACTGGACGAATTGTGAGCGAAACAGAACCTCAGTGAGTCTTAAACAAAGTCGAATGTGCTTTAAGACAAAGAAAGGAAAAACAAGATTCCCTCCCAAAGACACTAAGCTGATGTGTTTATGGAAGGGAATTCCACATCCAATTAACAATATTGCCCTGTTTTGTCATTTTCACTTATGCCGTTCTCTCTCATTAGTACAGGAACAGTAAAATTAAATTAAATTTTCTGTTGATCTATCTGTTTAGTATTTTTTCTTTTCTGCTTTATAGTCAGTCATTTTTATTATTCTGGGTTATGAATTTGTCCACAAAGTACAGTTATAAAGCTTACATAATCCAGCGCCTATGGTTTAGGAATGAATTAAACCATTTTACATTAATCCCTATGAGGAAAATTGTTTCGGTTTATGAACATTTCGGTCGAAAAATAGTTTTCATGAATGAATTAAATTCGTGAAACGAGGTTTCACTGGATAAGACTCAAGAATTCTAGAAATCGGGGGTTTTAGTTTATAATACACGACAAAATAGATAAAATGGATAGTCAAAATAAACATTTACAGAGGCTGTAACGTTTATTTTGAGTTATTTCGCATATTTTCCGACGACCTTTCCTTAATGTTAAAGGCAATCAGTATCTTAGAAATACATTTTTTAACTGGATCTATATTTTTGAAAGTATAAATTATCGTCTGCTACTTTGTAAAGTTTATCCTAAGTTTTAACAGTTATCTTTAGTTACAGCTACTTTCCTGTACCAAATGTGTTTTTAGAATCGCGGTTAATGTAAATGAGTAAGAGCGGTATTTAAATCGAAGTTCCACTGACTTCGTTCGAGAGCCAGAGTTTCTAACTAGCGCCAGTTCGCGTTTTAGCCTACACTCTGTAAGCCATTACTACGCTCGGCTGTATCTCAGGCTCTTGATAGCTTCGCAAGTTTAGTTGATATTTAGGGGGAAACTACTTAGAAATCTTGGTAGCTTCGGCTATATCTTTTTAGTTTAGCTTTAGTTAAATTTTATTTCTGATTACTTTGAGTTCAAGCCAAAGTGGGGGCTTTGCTGTACTTCCTGAGAAAGGGACCATCTATAAAATTCTTATTTTGAGAAATAAAGGGTAATTAACCCTTCTTGAGTTTTACGTATCTGTTTCTGAACTAAAGCGATTATTTGCTTAAGGGGGCTCATACACCTTAAACCCCTTATGATCTTCGAATATGTGACTGTTGCAAGAATTGAGATAACTTATTTATTTTAAAAGGAAATATTTCCAACTTTTTATGACTCAGTACATAATATAGCTGCTTTCTGAAATCGTAATCAGAAAGTTTGTGTTGCCACAAATAATTTTATAATTTAATCCGCTTTGTGACAAAAATTTTCGTCATGTTTCCAACTTGCGCGCACAGTTTAAAATTATCTGTTGCATTATTTAATTCCATAGTTTATATATAGCTTTTAGAACATTTGGAAACTGTTGTAAACCAAAAATACTTAGAATTTCATATTAAATTTTTATTTTATTTGTAGTTGAGTTTTTAAAATGTATTTTATTAAAAATATCTGTAATATTTTCGTGCATAAAATTTTTTAATATTAAAATATTCATCATATTTTGGGTTCAGATAGAAAATAGTACCCATATAAAGAATTCCATCTAATTTCAAGCATGTACCATTAGCCATTTTTAAAATATCATGCGCGCAAGGTGGAAAAATGACGAAAAATTTTGTCACAAATCTGATTAAATTACAAAAATATTTGTGGCAACACAAACTTTCTGGTTACTAGTGTCCAAAGCAGCTATATTATATAGTCAACTGTAAAACGCTGGAGGTTATTACTTTTAAAATAAAAAAAAATATGTCAATTCTTACAATAGTCACATAATTCGAAGCTCATAAGGGGTTTAAGATGTATGAGCCCCCTTATGTGTTTACGAGGTTCCTACACACTTAACTGTTAGATAACATGTTAGAACCCCACAACTTGATAGTTTTGTTTTCATGCAAAATAGCGCTTTTAAGAGGCAATGGATGCGTCAAAGTTTGGGTTCGAGGAGAAAAATTGTTTCAAACATATATCCAAGCAAAAAACGGAATGTTTCAAATATTGCAAAGGTAAGATCCTTAATATTAAAGGAAATTCCGCCAAGTCAACGGACAGTTGGAAGATCGTTAAAATGCTCAAGTAAACTGGAAGCAAAGTAATTCATTCCTAACAAGCATATTCAAATGCTAATAACTTCTTAAAAAGTAACTTTACACACAAGCGGTTTTTTTGTAGACGATAGAGTTAAAACCATAGAATATTGTCATATGAAATTTATGAAATTTTTATTTCCCAATTTTGTATTGAAACATGTGTTCCAAACAGGTTGCTGTTTGTGTTCCAAACAGGAAGATATATATTGCAGGTTCCTGTTTGTATCCAAACAGCAAGATATAAATTCATGTTCAATATCTATTGGTCAAGGGCAAGATACACATCGTATAGACCAATGCAAAAAGAGGTGTTCATCTGGATACAAGGAAAGAAGAATTGCCCAAAAAAAAAAAAAAAAAAAAAAAAAAAAAAAAAAAAAACTGTGTAAAGTAGCTAAAAATAATGAAAATGTAAATAAGGAAGCGGAAACATATGGTGCAGGAAGTTCGATTTTTGCTAAAACCATCGTCCACTGTCCCCTTAAGCAACGGAATGCTGAGAATGCTGAAACTTTATTTTTTAAAAGTTCAGCCCACTAGCTGCATAGTTCAAAACACTGCTGAACAGTGGTAGTTGGACTTGGTTTAAACGCCACAAACGGGCTTTCTCCCCTTGTGACGTAAATATAAGCCAGCTTTCTTTAGAATGTTATCTACGAAAGCGTATAGGCTCCTTCCTGGACATATACCCCTTATTTTCTTTGTCTTGTAAGGAATTTTTTTTCTCTTTAAGGCGTGTTATCATGTTGTAATTGGACGCATATCATTAGCAATCAAAAGGTTCGGAGTCTGACGAAGAGATTGGTGTTTTTTTTTCTCCAGAATAAAACTAGTAATTCTACAAGCTGTGCTTGAACTGATGTGGTGGACGATATTCGTCAAAACTAGGATTTCATAACTGGGTCCCTTCCTTCCCTGTCTCTCTTTAAGTGAAAGAAAAGGTACGGGGTTCTTTCCCTCGTTATCATGTGCTATCGTAGTCTAAATGAAAGCACATTAGATTAGTAATCGAGAGGTTGGGGGAATCTTAGTGAAAGCATGTTGGTTTTTCACATTTCCTATTCCGAAATACACACATAATAACTCTACATCCGTAATCAACTACCTAAATCAAAGCTTCAAAATTCACATGTGGCCACCACTGCAGAAACAAATAGGCAGCATTGTTCATTAAACTTCACAGAAAATGTTTTAGATAACTCTCTACAGATTCATTCTGAGAAGAAGATTATAGAACGAATTTATTTCAGGTAATTTTATCAGTTCGGTTCTCCTGAATCTTTGTGGCCGTGCTTGGCGATATTTGAAGTCAAAACACTTCATGCAAAACAAAGATTATACGAAACGACTAAATATTGTGAAGTTTTACTGGTCGTTTATCTCTCTGCTATGCCTCCTGGTGTTTGGCCTTTAGATCGCATTGTTGAAATCCATCCTGGAAAGGATGCCAATGTTAGAGTTGTTACAGTAAAAACTGTTAGTGGTTATTTTAAAAGATTTGTAGTAAAACTTTTACCGTTGCCATTGCATCGGGAATGATCTATTGTTGATGCAATGGCAAGGATGGGAGTTAAATTTTGGATGTATATTTATATTTGTATTCTTTTTCTCCTTTTGCTTTATTTATTTTCCCACTGTTTAATTTTATGTTATGATTTACAATAATCTTGTTACTGTCAACATGCTTTATTTTACCATTAAGTTTGTGTGAATGGCAACAGTTGTTCATGTTTATATTTCAGCAGAATAGCGATCTTAGCCGCACTATGCTGCAGGCAATTTTTCTCTTAACTATTTCATGTTTTAGAATAATTCGCTGTTATTTAAAAATGCAATGTAGCTCAAATAATTTAAATCTTGCACATCTTTACAGATCACCAAAGAAGTTTAATTCAAGTTGCTTTTTTGCTTTGTGATTATTTCGTTTGTTACTTCGCCTTGCAATTCATTATATGTTTAGTCAATCGGTAACAAAAATACTAGACAGCGATACCTTTACTAAAAAGTAAAGCCGTAAAAATATATGTTTCTTTCCTTGCTTTATTGTTTGTCTAGTTTTCAATCCGTCTTGTTTTCATCATTTGTTAAAGGAAAAAGAAACAAACAAGAGATTCCAATAGGCACTGACCTGAGCAGATGTCCATCTCGCCTTCTGGCATTCTGCCAAGGTGAGTCTTCGTACCGGTAGGCTTTCCTGATAAGCGGGGCACAGGAACAGCTTAGCTTGTTCCCCATTGCTCCACTCACAAAGCCTCACACGATCCAGCTAACATTCTTTTAGCCCTCCCGCCGACCTGCAAAAATAAAAAGCATGAACATTTTTAGAACAAATCCTTTTAGCATTATAAACTTGAGAAAAGTTTTATTTTCAAGTTTCTTTAATAAAAATATAATACTGAATTCAGTTAAACATAGCTTACAAAAGCTCAGAATTATGCTTGTGATAGTCTGTTCTGGATAAAAAAAAGACGAGGGTTTTTGGTTTGTTTGTTTGTTCGATCGAGACTTATGTTTTGTTTCAAAGTCATAGGCAAGGTCAAAACTGTTCTCCAGACTGAGTTAGACTGGAAGTGTTTGAGGAATTATGTAGAAGTACCTTGAGTAGTATCAATTACATGGTACACTTGAATGCACTTCTTTAAAATGCTTAACACTATAGTGACTGAGATATTTTTCTGCGTTCTTTTGAAGATGGTATTTGGAATAAAGGAACTTCTGGAAATTTACTGTATTTATTACAAATTATGAAAAAATCTAAAAAAAATAAATAAATAAATAAAATAAGAAAGGAAAATTTGAAAGGTTTCAGATTTTAAATTACGTCCAAAGGGGCGTTTTTTTAGCATTTTGTGTGTTACCTTTATTTATTAAATATCATGTTCTTCGCGCGTAAACCATAAAATTCAATTCAACAGCAATATCGCAAAATAATTTTAAATTGAGTATATCTTTAGAATTTCCAAAACACTGTCTCACGCGCTGGTGATAAAAATGTTTTTTCTGTACAACGTTGCAATTGCTCGCTTTGAAATCCTTGAGTCTGGTAATCAAAAATTGCTTAAAATTTTACAAAATATGAAATCTGTAATAAAACAAATCCCAAATTTGGGCTTCCAGATGGCCATATTCGCAGTAGGATTACGTCATTCAAAATTGGATGGCTCTAGGTACCGTTGTTTATCACAATGCGAGAAACATACATACATTTATGCAGATTCTTCATTATTTAATTTCTTCAAATGTAATACATGGACATAATATTCGGTGGCAACACTTTGAAACGTGAAACGGACATTCAGGGCGATTTGACACAAAATCGAAAAGCGAAAATTATAGTCCCTCAAAGCCTCTTTGTACTAATAAAAAGGAGCAGGAAATTAACACATTAATTTGTACTTTTTTAGATAAGATAGCAAAAGAAGAAAACATATTTTATTCAATAATTCAAGCCTACTTTTAGGTTTTACCATTTCGCCAAGGAAAAAAATTCTGCATAATTGCAATGGAGGCATTGAAGAAAACATACCATCAGCTACCAAACGTGAGTCTTTGCGAATTTATTAATGAAAACGGAGCTAATAATTCAAAGCATATTATTTCATTTAAGCTTTTCCATTTTCTTTTATCCCCGCTTGAATGAGTGATAATGTACGATACTGCAGACGCGAAGATCTTAATTAGAGTACAGCTGTTAGGAATGCTGTTGTTTTATCTCTGTCATCTAATGTTATTTTATTTTTTAAAAAAAACTCTTTTAAGAGAAAGTACAAAAAATTGCCCTAGCTTTTTTGCAGACATATTACAGGGTGTTCGGGATAAATTTGACATATTTATAATTGATTATATTTTTCCGAGGTATTGACACACACTACTCGTCATTTAAAAGTTTGGACGCTTCTTCATTCATATACAAGATGTCAGAAAGGATGGATGACTGGAACCCACCTGAATCTTGGAACTTGCATCATGATGATTGGTGCCGGCCATTAAAATAAGGATATTATGACTGCTGCCCAATGCTCCCTGAACACAGTAAAAACAATCAGGCGTGAACTAGAGACTTGCAATGGTGAACGAACGAACAAAATCTCTAAATAAAGAGCACTTCTATTTCTGGATTCAAACTGAAAGTCTCCTGGTTGTTGACTAATACGTTACAAATGTTTTTCTTGTGATTTCAGCAAGTCAGGCTTTTAAATACTATGCATGGTATTTAGAATCTTACCCTCTCTGTTTTGATTTCTTGTTTTTGAGATGAATGTGCTAAAATTTATTAAGTAGTATTCACTTAAAGGTCTTTTGTAATTATTAGCGTTTAGGAGAAATACATAAGTTCAAGGTTAAGCCCTCGTCTTATACAATAATTAGAAATACAGCTACAACATCTCCTACTAAATTATTTTGAAAACAATCGTTTTATGTTAAGCACAATACTTTATTTTTTACTGTCTTCATTATTAAAAATGGTTGACCGCCAAACATACATATACAATAAAGGTTAAAATTATCCATTTATAAGGAACTCCTGTGAGAATTAAAGAGATAAATGTGTAGAGACATTAGGTATTTTTTGGAAGCAGGCAAAATAAAAAAGTAGCAACGCCTTCCCCGGGAATCGAACCACGGACATCTGGAATACCGGCCTAGCGTGCAGAGCCACTACACCACGAAGGCACGCTAGGAAAGCGGGACAAATACCTTATATACTCCCCCCTTTTAAAGGGCGACAGGGGTTTATAGGAGACCCAATCGCCAAATTTTGGGTTAGGAGAATCATCATCCAACACCCTTTTAGTTCGGCCGCCACTGTAGTGATGGTAGGCCTTTTTTGGAAGCAGGCAAGATGAAAAATATGCAACGCCTTCAACGGGAATCGAACCACGGACCTCTGGAATACGCGCCCAGCGTGCAAAACCGCTAAATCACGAAGGCACGCTAGAAAGGAGGGAGAAATACCTTATAAATGTGCATGTAAAAGGAAAAAAAGACACCAGAGCTGTAGACCAGGAGTTTTCAACCTGAAGAGATACTCCCTTGGGGAGGGGGGGAATTTTATAGTTTTAGGAGTGGAGAACTTGATCAACCTTTTATTTAGCTATTAAATATTTAATTTATGAATATAAAAAAGCTACCTTTATTCAAGTTTTGGCATTGATCAATAATATCTATACGTTGTTGTTGTTTGATATATTAAAAAAATCTGATGTGGACACCACATTACTTCCTTGTACGGAATATTAAATTATACGCATTTTTTTCTTGAATTTCATTTAAATTGATTGGATTGAATTAAATCTACTTCGTCGACAGCGCATAAACCACAATAGAAATAAATGCACTCTTTAAAATTCACTATATTTGTTTACTATAACGACACTCTGAATGCACAAAATTTATATCATTTGAAGAATTATCTTATCGTTGCCACATGTTCTGTTCAAATACTACAATAAAGCTAGAACGATGTATGAAAGAAATTAAGCAAGCAAAACAGAAAAGAAACAGTTTTTCACAGACTATTTAGTATTTCTAATTCAATTAATTCAGTTCTCACTTCGCGACAAGGCAAAAATACATAAAAACTCAAAATATCCGTATTAAAAATTACGAAGTAAATCTGAAACACTTATTTCCTCAAAAAATTCCAGAAAGGATTAAGTACGATTTAATTCGCAATAATAAATGAAGGTGTTACTTTTGTTGTTGCGAAGCTTAATCTCTCTAGATTGGCAACAAATCTACAATTCTGCTGTTTCAAATGTAAACAAATATGTCCGCCATGTTATTTAAAACTTAACCGCACTTAAACAGCTTTTAAATTGTTGATAATTGTACAAATATTGCTTCCAGACTTACGAAAGGCTTAAAAACCTTAACCGGAAGATAAGAACAACATAATTCAATCATTTTTAAAGAAAAAAAATGTACAATTTACAAACATATAAGAGTAAAGAAATTGAGATCACTGAGCCGGGTAACAGAGTGGATACATATATAAATATAGTATTTATATACGTTTGGTGCGGCCGATTGCAACCAAAATACGAGGTGCACATCTACATGTTATAGCATCCTATATACAAAATTTCAACGTTCTGAGGCTACTCGTTTTCGAGTTATGCAAGATACGTACGTTGAGTTACGCAAGATACGGCGTTTGTACGAACGTATGTACGTACGTAAAATTCTCTTCAGAATTAATTTTAAAGGAGTTTTATCATTTTTTTGGAGGAAACGAGTATTTTATTCTGTCCTTACGTACAGATATGACGCAAAAACATCGTTAAATTGCATTCGATAGCGGTCAAAATGGATATTTTCATTGAAATATGCTGCCTGAAACTTTTCGCGATTACAATACTTCCTTTTTACTTCGTACAAGGAAGTAAAAAGTGTTAAAAAATAATCTAAATCGAAATAAATGTGTATGTAAAATTTTCTTCATATTTTTCAAGCTTGGAAAAAGAGGAAATGTAACGATCACCTAACAATGGTAAAAGAGCTGCACATAGTAAAGATGGTTGAGAACGACTTCTATAGACATTTCGGGATTAAATCATGCATTGCTTCAAATAAATTTTCATAACCGAAAGTTTTTTTTTAGAATACACTAAACCCTTGCCAAACGCGGTGTTGCGGAACACGATATTGTGAATACGCGTTATCTCAACTGTTTCCATTTAATTTGAACAACGCAGAAATTTCAGTTATATGCGGTGCGCTGTACAACGTCAGCGGAGTGGTTTGAAAATTCATTCATTAAAGAAGTCAAGTATGACTTCTTTAATGAAAACTCAAAACCTGAGCTTTAAAACCCCTTCACGCCGGCTGTCACGTCTACGTGCCAGCAACGAACACACTCTCACCTACCGGCCGACACGCAGGCGTGACAAAGCATTTTCCCGTTTACTACCTACTGTCACGTATTTGTGCCAGCGTCCTGGAACGTTTTTCAAACTATAATTTCTGCCACAAGATGGCACTGTATGTCCATATGGTTTCAGATACATGTACATTAGACCTTCTACTCGAAATGAGAGAAGCATGACTCACATACACGTGTTTTTGATTATATAAACAAACGGGGAAATAAATGTTTCCGAATGGCGTGATTTATGACGTCTCTTTAAATCGCACTTTATTCGCACGTGGTAGTTTTTTATTGTAAGTAGAAGTTTTATATGCGCTAAAGCGTTGGGTATTTCTGTTTACAGTTCAGTTTTTAGAAAATAATTATATCTTTGTTAGACGTGAATTCTTTCTGTTTTTACCGTTGCAATGTCGAAGCATC